CCCCGGCCCCCGCCGCCGCTGCCCCGCCGCCCGGGCCCCGCCGCCCCCCGCCGCCCCCGGCGCCCATCCGCTCGCCGGAGCTCGAGGTCCCTATGCCTGACCCCTGACCCTCGCCCCGGAAGTCGAGGTGACTCGGAAGTTCCGGCTCAGTCGCTAGGAAACCGCCAGCCCGACGGAGGGGGCGGGGCTTCTCGCCGGCGAGCGGGGGCGGCAGGTGAGGCAGGTGAGGCCGCGGGGGCGGCGCCGAGCCGGGGGTGGCCCCGGGCCTGGGGACCCCGTGAGCACCGGGGGTCCCACGCCACACCCGGCACCCCCCAACCCGACGCCCTCACGGAGGACCCCCCCGCCCTCCGCACACAGTTCTCACCGGTTCCGGGACCGCCGGCACAGGGAGACACTGCGCGCACAGACCCCCGCACACCTGCGCGCACGAGGGCCCTTCCCACACCCCAGTTCCCTCCCAGGACGGTGCCCCCCCCACCGCCCCGCGGAGGTCGGACCCCACAGGAGCGCCCACAGGGACTCTACAGGGCGTCCGGCACACACAAGGGAGGCCACACGCACTTGCCTCCTTACACGCCGACCCGTCTACCTACGGAGGACTCTGCACCTACCGGGGCTGCCCGCCCCCTGTACCTGGGACACCACAGGGACCCCTGCACACTTACGAGACCCTCCATGCACAGCACCGCGCGCGCACACAAGAGACCCCGCATGCACGTGGGAAGCGCTCACACCGCAATCCCACACCCCACACCCCAGCAGGGAAGCCCACATTCATGGATCCCGCAGCACACCAGGACCCTCCCCCTGCAGCAGCATGGCGATGCACAGGACCCCACACGCGCGCTGAGAGTCCTCTCAGCAGGTTCGCTGCTAGCATTACTCCATGCAGAAGGCAGCCGGGTGAGCACACACTGCCCCCCAAGAAGTCCTTAGTCCCCGAACACTTCTGATCCTTTCTCAGAACCCCAGTTCCCCATCAGATCCCACTTAGGGCCTGCCCTATGGTCAACCACGTGTCCAAGCCAAGTGCCCTGCCCAAGGCTTCTCCCTCCCCAATCCATGCCCGAATCCTGTTCCTGCCGATCTCTAGTCACCCTCCTCCTTGTCCGTCTTGCCACATGATCCTGTCCTCTCGGTTGCTAGGGTTGCTCTCAGTTTCCTTCATTCCTTCCCCAAACGCTTTGAGACACCCCCCCCACCAGAAGGTGGTGGGCACGCAGGCACAGGGTCACACCAGTACCTGTGCTGTGGGGGAGGCGCAACCCAACTTGTGCCAAGGGAGTTGTCCCAAGGGAAACAAACTTTGGAGTCAGCCGCCTGGGCTAGGGAGGAAGGCACTGCTTCCAGGCCCTGACAACAAAAGGTGTCAAAGCTGGAACAAGAGAGGGTTGGGGGCCCAGAAGTGTCGGTGTCCCCAGGGGGCTTCGGGCAGTGGGGAGGCGTGAGCATTCTCGAGAGTGGGCTAGCGTGCGCATTAGGAGGAAGCCCCCAGCCTGGGGCTTCTGTCAGGGCCCAGGACCGAAGGACGGATGGACCAGAGAGTGGAGGCAGGTGAGAAAGGGCAAGGGGGTGAGCTGGGCCAGTGGTCCTCGAAACCATCCCCCTGGGGAGCTGCTGGCACCCTCAGGCCACAAAGCAGGACCAAGCTGGTGGGCCCAAAAGCCTCAGGAAGCTGGGGTAAGGGGGTCTGGGGGGGAGGTGTGAGGCTGTCAGTGCACACAGGCCTCTCTAAGCACACACTCCTTGACCTTTCCTCCCTCCCCCACAGGAAGATGACCAGCAAGAAAGGGGGGCCCAAAGCTGCACCAGGGAAGCGGCAGACGTCCTCCCCTGTGGCGGAGCCAAGAGCTGTGGCTGGTAAGCGAGTCTGACCTCTAGAGCACCGCCGCTGCCCATTGACTTGGGACACCCTTGCTGCGGCCCCCGGGGTGCTCTGAGAAGACCCTTCCCTTGGACAGTGGCTTTTAGGGGGTCTCTGAGTTGGGCTTGGGCACGGCCGACCGAGGATTCAGAGCTCAGAAGTCATTTCCAGACCCTGACCGTGAGACTTGTACCCCTGGGCGGGTTTCAGGGGCAGTGCTCGGAGGAGCACAGCGTTAGAGCCCGTGGAGATGGGACGCAAGCCCAGGTGCACTGGGCACAGGTTCTGAGACAGAGCTCACTTAGAATGCATGTGAGGGATTCTCAGGCTAAGTGTGGTCCACTCTGACCCTCTATCCCACCTGGGCCGTCCCCTTGTTTTTCCCTGCCTGCAGCTGCTCTCTTAGGTCACCCTATGCATAGCCGCCCCCAGAGTGAATGGCAACAGCTTGCCCTTGGTTCTTTCCTGCTGTGGGTCAGAGAGGGCACCTCCTGTCATCCCTCCCCCCTCCCCCATGGTCCTTTCATTCCCTGAGTCGCATCTCTTCTCTGTCCTGGCACTCATGAGTTCTCTGTGACGTCATCAGCACCTTCCTGCTGCAGTTCTGGGCCCTTCTGGCACCTAGGCCTGCACCGGGGTCTGTGTTGGCTAACGGACCACCCACCTTATGCCCCAGATGCAGCCCCTCTGCTTGGAGTGGGGCTGGCCCAAGTCCCTGGAGCGCAGAGGGCTCGCAGCGCACGCGCCCTGCCGGGGTGGCCGTGACCTTCCACGCCAAGCTGGGTTTAGACCCTAGTTTCCCAAAATAGCCCCAGCAGCGTCTGCGGAAGCAGCCTTTCTGGAATGAGGATGATGGGCTCAGAGCCGCACGCTTCTGCTGTGATCTCAAGCCCTGGGGACACAGCCTGCCGTAAACAGTGGAGGTGGGCGGGCGGGCGGCCGGGCGGGAAGCCCTGCTGGGTGGGGAGACGGAGGGCTTGTTCCTCGCCATTGCTACCTGCCGACCGTCCACCTAGGTCCTGCTGCACCCTCTCCCCACACTCCCCGCACACTGCCAGCGACTGCTCCAGCAGCTCCGTGCGCTGGCCCACCTGGCCAGGAGGCCTGGGTCCTCTGTACGAACACCTCTGCCTCAGTGTCCCCAAACGAGTGTCCTCTCCGGGCGCTCTCTCCCTGCGCAGCCCTGGGACACCCTGTGCGGACTGGCTGCCACATGGTCCTTGGAGTGTCCTGTGCAGGGGGCACCCGCCTCGTGCGCCTGATTACGGCCCCCAGCCGGTCCCCAGCACCCCCCAAGCCGGCCGCAGCAGGGATCCGTGCGATGCTCGAATGGCTCCCGTACCCCGGCAGCTGTCGGGGCCTCCCCACCCCCTTACCTGGCCTTGGGTCTGCAGCACCTCAAGGCCCTCGCTGCGGAGCTGCTCCAGCGCCAGGGCCAGCTCCAGCCCCTCCACGCGCACCCAGGCCTGCTGCTGCTCCAGCTGTTCCCGCCACAGCTGCTCCTCCTGCCACAGCTGCTCCTGCCACAGCTGCTCCTCCTGCCACAGCTGCTCCTGCCACAGCTGTGCCTCCTGCCACAGCTGCATCTGCAGCTGCACCTGCCGCCGCCGGTCCTCCAGCAGCAGCTGCTCCTGGGCCAGGCACAGCTGGACCTCGTGGAGCCTCAGCAGCTCGGGACCCAAGCCCGGCAGGCCCCCTGCCCCACAGCCTTCCATGTCCGCAGCGGGCACCGGCACCGCCACCGGCTCGGACCCCAGCGCAGTGGCCTGCACTGGCCCCTCGGCTGCTCGGGGCCGCTCTGGCTCGGCCACCCTGGGGCGTCCCCGGGCAGCCTGCGTGTTGCGGGTCACGTGCTCTGCGGGGGCCACCCCCACCTCGTCCCGAGGGCCCCCTGCGGCGGGGGGCGGGGGCTGGGCCTCAGGGCCCTGCTGACCCAAGGCCTGCTGTGCCTTGCCCGCTCTCCTGCCTCGGGGTTTCCGAGCCCGACTTCGTTTCCCTGACATGGCCCTGATCCGGCGCCTTTCACCAGCTTGTCTGCCTCCTGGGGGCCCGGGCTCATCGCTAGCCAGCCGTGATCAGGCGGGTGCAGCGGGCATCGCTGGGAGGCCACGGCGGGCCCTCTGCTCCTGCCCTGCCCCTGGGCCGGTGCCTGTGGCTGGCAGCTCCGGGCCCTGCGCTGCCTGTGGGCCTCCCGGGCCCCACTTGCTGGGCTGGGCCACGCTGGGGAGTTTATAGGGACTCAGCGGCGTGGTGGTTCAGCCGGGTGCGAGGGCTGACTAACGTGCTGACACAGGGCGCAGGACTTTACAGGCCACAGGCCTCGTCGGCCAGACTGGGAGGGAGACCGAGAAACTGGAGGAGGTGACTCTGGGCAACCAGATCCCTGGCTGTGCGGAGCGGCGAGTCTGGTCCTGCCCTGGGCCGCCCAGCGCCTCCTCCCTGCCCCCGCCCCGCCCCTGGTCCACGGCTGCATCCCAGTCACACTGACCATCCAGGGGAGACCCTCACCGGCCACGGGCGACCCCAGCCCAACTAGCCTGCGAGCCCCTAGCCAGTGGGCTCCTCTGAGCTCCATGGGGGCCCAAGCTCGCCTGGGGGCTGTGTGGCGATGACACAACTCTTTGCCCAGCCTGGTGGCCTCCTGCCAGCGGCTGGTGGAGGAGACGGAGTCTCAGGCCCAGATGGCCTGTTGTGGACTGAGATGGGGTAGCAGGGCCCCGTCCAGCCTGCCCTAGCATGGGGCAGGCGCTCGTGATGCCTGCTGGCCGGGGGTGCAGCTCCCCGGCCCAAGGAACACAGGCCTTTGGGGGAGGACCTTGGGGGGGGGTGTTGCCCAGGGCCAGTGGGAGTGCTGGCGTCCCCGGGCTTCCTGTTGGGAGGAGGCCCCAGACAGCCTCCTCCCCAGCGTTTCCCCAGCCCGGGGCTGCTGACTCACACCCACGCCCAGGGCCCCATCCCAGCCCGCTCTGCCACACAGGCCTGACTGGTTTGCCTGGCATAGCCCTGCCGGGAGCACCCTCCTCCCACTCAGCCCTCGCCCCTGAAGCTTCAGGGGGAGGCAGACAGCAGGCCACCGGCCAGGGTTCGCAGGGAGACGCACACGGACAAGGGCACCAGATGCGTTGGGGTGGGGGTGGGGCAGGGTGCGCCTCGGGGAACTTGGCTACACCTGAGTTCTCAGAGCCTGGGCTTCGGGACCTGGGACGGGGCGGTCCTGCCTGCTGGGCTCACCGGCGCCCCCCCCGCGGCGCCCCAGGGGAGACACCGGCTTGCCGTGGAGGACACACCCCGGGTGGGCGCGCTCTCACAGCCAAGAAGCACCTGGTCTCCACGTAGCCCATAAACGCCCGGCGGGGTGGGGTGGGGTGGGGGGAGTGATGGGAAGGGGTGGGCCCACGCCTCCACCACACTGAGCGCCCCTCCCCCAGGGAAGCCGGGAGGGACACGCCAGCCGCCAACGAAGACCGGCCGGTCGGCCAAGCAGCCGGCCGACCCTGAGCGCCCAGAGGCCCCCGCAGGTGAGAGCCTGCGCGCCCCGCATCCGCTCTCGGGCCGGCGGGGATGGCCGGGACTGGGGGTGGGCTGGCGGGAAGGGGGCTGCCACGGGCTGGGACACGCGTAGTGCGCGTGAATGGGAGTGTGTGCGCGCTCGCGGAGCCGCGTGATGCTTCCTGGAGCAGGAGGAGCGGACCCGGCCCTCCCTCCCACAGGGTGCTCCGTGCTAGTCCGGCCAGGGCTGGGCGGGGTTGGCCCAGTGCCCGCCTTCCAGGGGCTCCGCCTGCCTGGGAGTCCCTCTCCCTCGGAGCCTTTCACCCGCTGTTGGGGGGGGGACGCCCTCCTCCCCCTGGATCCGTGTCAGCTGGGGCTGGTGGGCGTCCTGGGGACTGGAGGGGGGACACCACCTTAGTGCCCAACTGTGCTTCTCCTTGTTCTTGGGTGCCCTTTTAAAAGATGTTTTTATTTGGGCAGAGGAGGAGAGGGGAGGTAGAGAGAGGGAGAGTGGGGAGTCCCAGGTTGGGCTGGATCTCTCAGTCCTGAGCTGAAGTCCAGAGTCTACTGCTTGACCAACCGCGCCCCCAGGCGCCCCCAGTCCATTTTCTCAGGGAGGCCATCCTCCACCTGGTCTCTGGACACTGACCTCCAAGCCGCGTCTTTACTAGACCATCGTCCTGTGCCTGGAGTCCATACTCCCACTGCGGCCCCCAGCCCGCCTTCGCCACATCCAAGTGCAAACCCCTTGTCCCATTCCTCTCTGCTGTCCCGTCTCCCAAGCCTGCACCCTGGTGACCCTGTGCCCAAGGCCTCGTGCCCACAGAGAGGTCCTTGTGTTCTCTGTTTCCCTCCCAGGCTCCTAACCCCCATTTGGCTCCTGGCCTGTCCCCCACAGAGTGGCTGGTCTCAACCCTCACGCAAGCTTGGTCTCGTGTGGGTGGTGCTGCCCTTGCCCCAGGATGAGCCCCCAGCACCGTACGCACATACTGGGGGCTGGGACAGGAGCCTGACCTTGTCCCGAGGACAGGGCTGGATCACAGAAGGTTTGTAAAGTCCTAGCCACTGGTTTTAGAGAAGTTACATGTGCACGACACATTAATCGTGGTTCTGGATTAGGCCTAGTGGGCTTCGGCTCTGCCATTTAAGCAGAAATGGAATGTGCTGGAAGGAGGTTTAGGCTGGGAAAGAGAAGAGGGAAGGAGTGGAGGAGTCTGAGCAGGATGTCCCGTCTGTCCCGTCTGTCCCGTCTGTCCCTAGAAGCCAAGGCGGGCTCTACCCTCCACTCGGCAGGTCCGCCAAGAACCCTCTCCTCCTGCGCCCCTGGCTGGCTCTCAGTCCCAGGAGAAGCCGTCCACGCTCACGACACGCTCGCCCTGTCAGCAAGGGAGAGACCGATGTTTGTCCCCAGGCCCCCATTCCAGTTTCTGTAGTGGGCAGAAGCTCCCACCAAATCCCTCAGAACCGCCCCCGGGCTGCCGAGGTGGGGATCCCGAGCCTCGGGCTGCCCGGCCCCCCTTCCCTAAGGCCGGCTGTTCTGGGCGGCAGAGTGAGCTGGGCAGACCCACTGCCCTGCCTCTCTCTGCTGTGAGGTGGGGGCTCTGACTGGGCATTTAGGGTGGGCAGATGTGGGTGCGAACCACTGAGCCAGTAGGAAACCCCTCAGGAACCACGTAGGCGCGGACGGTGTCTGTTCAGCTGCCATATTCAGGCCGTGGGCCCCCGGAGGGTGAGGATGCGCCACCCCCGCCCCCACTGCCGTAGCCGCGTGAGCTCTGGGAACAAGTCTGTGTCCATCTGCTAACCCACCGGGTCTGCACCACACGGGTAAAGCGTTCTCACAATCCAACTTTATTCTAATAAGTCCCTTCTGAGGGCGTCCCCTCCCCGGTGTCCTCGCCACCATGCACGATTCCAATCGCCTGTCCAGATCCTCAGCCAGAGCACAGGAGGCGGCATCAGGGAGGTCATCGGGCTGGACGGTGTCTGATTGGCCTTGACAAGCAGGGCTCATGCTATGGGGCCCGAGTGCCCCAGTGTCCCTGCCGCCTTGGCCACTCTGCCCTGGCCGTCACAGCAGCTGTGGGTGGCCGAGGAGAGAGGCCGGCCGACATCCACAGGACACTTGTGATGTCCACCTGGGTGTCCGGTGGCTCTTCTGCGGTGGACCCTCTCTGGGGCTGGCACAGTGAGAGGCCGAGCCGGCCCCACACCGGCACCCCACTCCCCACCCCTGCTCAGCCTGCCGGGCCCCCTCGTGCACCTTTCCCAGCCCTGCTTGTCCCCATTGTTCACTTCCGGCTCCTGAAGAGCCAAGCCTTTCCCTGTTGTCCCGGGCCCCCCTTCCCACCTGCAGGGAGCGGATGAGCAGGTGCCCCCAGAGGTTGCGGCCCCGCTATCCACAGGGTCCCCGACAGAGGACCTGCAAGGTGGCGGCTGCCCGGGTCAGGCTGCAGGTGTGGCACCACAGGGACCCTGCTGTCAGGGCTCGCCTCCAGCTGTCCTCCCAGGAGGCCGTGGCTGTGGGCTAAGGAGTGGCGGCGATGCCAGGGGAGGGAGGAGAGCTTGGCGCGGCTGCTTGCGTCTCAGAGGGCCTCATGACTTCTGGCTCATGCGACGGGTTCCCGCTGTGTCTGCCCGGTGCCGGGGTCCCCGTGGGGGGACCGCAGGTCGTGCCGGCTCCTGGGCAGCACGTGCTCTCCTGCCCCGGGGGACCCCGGCCTCCACCAGGCCCTCCTCCACACCCAGACCAGCGTCCTGCCGTGGAAGGCACAGCCGCACCTCTGCCGGGGAAGGGGGGCTCGCCAGCGGCTCTGCGGGGCCCCCTTCTCCCCACAGATGCCTGCAGCTTGCCGGACCCTGCGGATGCCTCAGCCACAGCCTCCGGGCCCTGCTGGGACCGTTAGCCTGCGGGGCCTCCCAGGACCCGGGGTGGGCGGTGTTCCCAGCCTCGCGACGCTGCTCCAGTGCCTGTGGCCACGGGGCCACTGTCCCGATGCAAGGCGGTACGAGGCACAACCACTTATCTTTTACCTCCTGACGTCAGGGCAAGTCCCAAGTCTGTGCACCATGAAAGCGTCCCCGACAGGTGGTTTTGTCTCTGTCCATCGGGAGGATGGAGGGTCAGCGCACTGCCAGGACAATCTTGGTTCCTGTGTCGGTCCCCGTGTCGGTCCCCACGGCCTCTGTAACCGCCGCGCGCTGGTCGGTCAGTCAGAAGCACTGCAGGCTGGTCGTCTTGCTGTCCCGTGAGTTAGACAACCCACATGGGCCGCCGTGGCTTACGGGGACCGCCTCGGGGACCGTGACCCTTTCTTAGGCTCTCGAGGGAAATCCATGTCCTTGTCCTTCACCTTCTGGAGGTGCCCGTGTCATGGCCTCTCGCCGCCTTCCAGGTCAGCGGTGTCTGTCTGTCTGACCTCTGTCCAGGTCGCAGCCCCAGTGGCTCTTCCTTCTCTCTCCCATGTTCAGGGACCCGTGTGATTCCGTGGGCCCCGTCGCATGGCCCGTTCCCTCCTGCATGTGACACAGCTCGTGCCCGGGCTCCAGGGAACACGACGTGGACATCTTTGGGGGGACCCTTGTTCTGCCTCGTGTGGCCCCGTGAGCCACAGTCTTCCAGGAACGCGAGTGTGGCGGCAGTCCTGAGGAAGGCGGCGGACGTGGAGCTGTCCTGGCCAGATCGGGGGGCGGGGGGCTCTGGATCCTCCCAGTGAGGGATGTTGAGAGGAAGGCGTTTGCCAGACCCGTCATTCCACACCGGAGTGCCAGAGGCTGGGTTGTCCGGCTCCTGCACGGTCCCTCTGACCGGTTCTGCCACTGTCCGAGTTCAGTGTCGTCTGCCGTCTTCCATTACTCATTTGTCTTCTGCGAAGGCTAGACCAGCGGGTTCAACAGAGGCCTGATGGGAACCTGTGCGTCTGCTTTCCTCAAACCTGTCTGTCCGGTTTTTTTCTTTCTTTAGTTAAGGCTTTATTTGCTTTTTACGATTTTATTTGCTAACACAGAGAGAGAGAGAACAAAAGCAGGGAGACAGAGGGAGACATAGGTTCCCCGCGGAGCAGGGAGCCCGATGCGGGGCTCGACCCCAGGGCCCTGGGCCACAACCCGAGCTGAAGGCAGATGCGTAATCGACCGAGCCCCCCCAGGTGCCCCAGGTCTTTATTTTTCAGAGCAGTTTTAGGTTCCCTTCACTGGGGGGAAAGTAGTGATTTCCCGTGCAGCCCTAGCCCAGCTCCCGTGCAGTCTCCCCAGCTACCGCCGTCCCCGCGGGAGTGGTGCAGGGCTACGGCCGATGAGCCACGCGGCTCGTTCTGCCCTCCCGCCGGCCGGGAGTGCCCGTCCCCGCTGCCCCGCGTCCTCGCCGGCATCTGGTGTTGTGGGTGCTCTGGATTTTGGCCGTCCCAGCAGGTGTGTCGTGGGATCTCGCTTCCCCGATGCATCTCCCCAATGACGTGACGTGGAGCATCTTGTTTGGTCATTTGCCACTGTACATCTTCTCTGCCGCGTCGGGGAGCTCTCCGGCCCGCTTCCTAACGGTGCCGCTTGTCTCCTCGCTGTTGAGTGTCAGGACTCCATGGTGGGTCCCTGCAGCCCGTCTTTGCCGGACGCGCCTGGTGCAGACATTTCCTCCCGTCTGCGGCTGGCTCGTCCTCTCGCTCTCTTGACCGCGGCTGCTGCAGAGCCAGAGCCCAGACCGTCAGCTCTTTCTTTCGTGGACGACGGCTTTGCTGTTGTATCTGAGAATCGTCGCCACGCCCAAGGTCGCCCAGGGTTTCTCCACGCTCTCCTAGGAGCCTCCTAGCCTTCCGTTGAACATTTGGGTCTGTGATCCGTTGTCTAAGAACATTTATTTACTTGAGAGAGAGAGTGTGTGAGCACAAGTGGGGAGAGGGACAGAGGAGAGACTCTTCATGCAGACGCCCCACTGAACACAGAGCCCAGCACAGGGCTCGATCCCACAACCCCAAGACGGTGACCTGAGCTGAAACCAAGACTCAGACGCGTAACTGACAGAGCCATCCAGATG